GCACAGGCCTTAGAAACCTTTGCTAATATTTATAATTTATTCTCTTTACTTAAGTTTAATCGCCCCTCTCCCAACATCATATGCTTATAGTGATTCCCAGTGAAACCCACTATCCAGAATCGCTGTAACAATAGTTTTAGACAGATTCATGATGACTAATTATATTTTCTGTTTTTAATATAATAAGAATAATTTATATAGTATCTGTTTAATCTTCTAATACTTTGTATATATTAGCTTTAGTATATGTAAAATGAGACTATATTATAATTTTATAAGTAAAATTACATATTCAAATTACATATTATATAAAAGTCATATAATTTTAAAATTTATCCAATAAGAATATAATAAATTAATTAATTAAATAATAAGTAATTAAATTAAATAAATTTAATTATTATAAATATTAAATATAATAAAAGAGATTAATTATTTATAAAATAACTATATTATAAAATATTCTTATAATACTAATTTATTTCAAATATATAATAGTTTATAATATATTGATACTAATCTTAAATTATAAAATGTTACTGTTACAAAATTTATTTTAAATATATAATAATTTATAGTTTAAGTTAAAATATTTTATAATATATATATTATAAACTATTTTTATTATATTATTTTTAATTGTTATTATATATTTCAATTTAATTTTAAATATATTTTTTATTTATTTTTATAATTAAATATTGAATTAAATATTTTATAAAATTTTTACAAAATTTATATTATAATAACAATTAAAACTAATACAGTCAAATTTCTCTATAGTCATCATTTTTAGAAAAGCAAAATTTGGTGACTATAGAGAGAATGTGACTATAGAGAAGTTTTTTTACTATGTTTATATATAAATGGGAAAGTAAAATAGAGTGTATAGAGGGATATGACTATAAATAAATGTAAATATAGAGGAATTTGACTGTATAATAATAGTAAAATTTATTAATTATATAGTAAAATATAGATTTGTTCTTTATATAAAAATTTTTAATTTTATTAATAAATATTTTTTAGTTTTATATTAAAATGAAAATAATATTATATATTTATATATATTTTTTTCAGATTTTTAATTTTTTATAATTAAAACATAAAAAAATAATTAATTTTATAAATTAAAACATTTTAATTAAAATATGTGATATTATCTTTATTTTAATACAAAAATAAAAAATATTTATTAATAAAATTGAAAACTTTTATATAAAGAAAATAATTCATATTTTACTATATTTAATTAATAAATTTTAATGTTATTACATTATTTTTAATTGTTATTATAACTTAAAAATATTTAATATAAAAATTTTGAATTTAAATTTGTATATATTTAATTTTTTTATATATTATAATATATTATAATTATTATACTATTTTTTTCTAATTTTATATAGTAACTAACAGAATTATAAAATCACATGTGCAATTTTATTAATAGAACATAATAAAAATTGAAATTTTGTCTTATATAAATGTTTTCAATTTTACTAATAAATATTTTTTATTTTTTATATCAAAACAAAAATCATAAATTATTTAATATATATTTTTTCTGATAATGTTGTTCTAATTGCAAAGTTATTGCAAAAATTTTTTATAATTGAGTTTACATTTTAATTATAACTTTATCAGAAAAAAATCTCAAAGATCCAGAAAAAATATATGTTAAAATTTAACTTATAATCTTTGTTAAAAATAAAAATATTTATTAATAAAATTGAAAACTTTTAAATAAAACAAAAATCTCAATTTCAATTATATTTTATCAATAAACTTACATGTGTGATTCCATAATTCTGTTAATTAATATATGTAAAAAAAATTTTGCAAATTAATAAATTTTCAGTCTTATTTTTTTTTCTGCCAGAATTATAAATTCTAATACTTTATACTTATTTTTAAACAAAAGAAATATTTTATTTAGAAATATTAATTTTTTTACTATTAAAATATATAAAATTTTTAAAGTTTAATAACATAAAAATTAAGAAAAATATAAAGTATATAATATAGATATTTTATTTTTTTTTATTTTTTTATATTGAAAGTTCTTCCTAAAATTCATAAAGTAGATTTAGAATAACAAAAAAACGACATAAATAATAATAAAAAATAATTACACGCCAATCACACCATTAAGTCTCCCCTTCCACCAATCATTCTTATCCTCAGTCCGTTCAACCAACTGAAGATGGTCATCCTTTTTTAAAAGTCAAATCGCCATCCGCTTGTGCATCGTAATCATATAGTGTTATCACGTATTTGATGGCTGGTTTTGTGGGGGGGGGGGACGTGGCGGCGATAGTTTTTGGGCTTGATGGTTGCGGCGGACGCTGACTCTGCATTGCTTCTATGGTAATCATTATTGTTAAAATTGCAGTACTACTTTCATTGTTGTTATTTATGTATAATTAGTAGGCGAAGCTGTGTACGGCGGTGGCACGTCGTCTTCGTGGTCGTATGCTTCTATCTCGTCTACTAATTCTGTGCCGTTTGATGACCGTGAATTCAACGGTCGTGATTGTGATTATTCAACTTGTAAGTTTGCTCGCAAGAATGAAGCAAAATATCAATTAAAATGAAAGCTATTTTAAGATACATAAAATATGCAATTACTTAAAACAAACCCCTATCCCTATTACTACATTACGTCGTTCCTCATGTTTTGTTCGTCGTCCAAGCAGCGTAAATACTTCCATCTTTCCTGAATATCCCCACGTCTCTCATCAAACCCGTTCATGCTATCAGAGTTCACATCAAAGTATCCGATGTCCACTAATCGGTCCATCCGATCATAGATTTTCAGTTGCATGTGATAGAATTCCTCGAAAAATTGCAGAAGTTCTTTTTTAAAAGGTCGTTAAAATAATCCGTGTCAAGTTGTTCTTTCTAACTTTTCATTATTGATCATTTATTTATTAGAATGTCATTTAGAAATAAAAATCAATGAGGCGCCATAAAAATACCT